TATGTGTTTGGATGTGTGTGTGTGTGTTTGTGTGAGCGTGTGTGTGCGTGTGTGTGTGCGTGTGTGTATGTGTATTTGTGTGTTTTCTCGCGTTAAAATTAAAAAGCCACAAAATACACAGCCATTAAGCACGTCGTTTTAACATGTTTTAGAAGCTTCTTCATCCACCCTTCCCCTCTCTCTCCGCTCCTCCCTACCCTCTGTTCCCCTCTCTCCCCACCCATCTCCCCTCCCTTCTCTCCCTCCTCTCCCCTCCTTTATAATGAGAGCACCCCATTAGCCTCAGACTCAATTAGAGCTCATAAAACGCAAAGTAATACTCAGATTCTTGCACACAATCTACCCTTTTTCCTCCCCCTCCCTCCTTCCCACCCTCTCTCTCTCCCCTCCCACCCTCTCTCTCCCTCTCTCTCTCTCCCTCCTCTCTCTCTCTCTCTCTCTTTCTCCTCCCTTCCTTCCTCCCTCTCACCTTCTCACTCTCTCACCCTCTCTCTCTCTCTCTCTCTCTCTCTCTCTCTCTCTCTCTCTCTTCTCTCTCTCTCTCTCTCTCTCTCTCTCTCTCTCTCTCTCTCTCTCTCTCTCTCCTCTTTTCTCTTCCTCTTCTCTCTCTCTTTCTCTCTCTTCTTTCTCTCTTCTCTTCTCTCTCCTCTCTCTCTCCTCTTCTCTCCTCTTTCTCTCTCCTCTTTCTCTCTCCTCTTCTCTCTCCTCTTTTTTCTCTCTCTCTCTTTCTCCCCCCTCTCTCTCCTCTCCCCCCCACTCTCCTCCCTCTCTCCCTCTCCTATCTCTCTCTCGCTCTCTCCTATCTCTCTCTCTCCCCTATCTCTCTCTCTCTCCTATCTCTCTCTCTTCTCTCTCTCTCTCCTCTCTCTCTCTCTCACATCTCTCTCTCTCTTCTATCTCTCTCCTCTCTCTCTCTCATCTCTCTCTCTCTTCTCTCTCTCTCCTCCTTCTCTCTCCTCCCTCTTTCTCCTCCCTCTCTCCCTCCTTCTACAACTAAAGTAAGATTAGGGAGGGAGGAGACAGAGGGTAGATAGAAGAGCGAAAGATAGATAAAAGGTCGGAAAAGGATGGAGAAAGAGAGAGAGAGAGAGTCGGGGAGGAGAGGAAGATAGAGAGAGAGGGAGAGAGAGAGAATGTGATTAGAGAGAGAGAGAGAGAGAAAGAGAGAGAGTGATTAAGAAAGAGAGAGAAGATGATTGCAGAGAGAGGAGAGAGAGAAGGTGATTAAGAAGAGAGGAGAAGGTGATTAAGAAAGAGAGAGAGGGAGAGAGAGAGAAGTGATTAAGAAGAGAGAGAGGGAGAGAGAGAGAGAGAAGGTGATTAAGAAAGAGAGAGAGGGAGAGAGAGAGAAGGTGATTAAGAAAGAGAAAGAGAGAGAAGGAAATAAAAGACAAAAGAGAAAGAGGACGAAAGATAGAGAGAGAAAGGGCGAAAGAAAGAGAGACAGGGAAGAGATACAGAGAGAGAGAGAGAGAGATAAAGAGAGAGAGAGAGAGAGGGAGATAAAGAGAGAGAGGGGGGGGGAGATAAAGAAAGAGAGAGAGAGAGAGGTTCGTTAATTGACTGTTTATAAACAAATCTAAGAGAGGCTCATGAGGGTCCAATTGGGTAAGAGAGATAAGACGGTGATCAAAGGAGGGACCGTCGGCTGTTGTGACAGTCCCTCCCCCTCCCCTCCGCCTTCCTTCCCCCTCCCCTCACTCTTTTCTCTCTTCGTCTCCTTCCCTTCCTCTTCCCTCAGTCTTTCTCTCTTCGTTTTCTTCCCTTCCTCTTCCCTAAGTCTTCCTCTCCTCGTTTCTTTCCCTCCCCCCTCACTCTTTCTCTCTTCGTCTCCTTCCCTTCCTCTTCCTCAGTCTTTCTCCTCGTTGCTTTTCCTTCTCCTTTCCTCTCCTCGTTTCGTTACCTTCCTCTTCCCTCACTCTTTCTCTCCTCATCTCTTTCCCTCCCCCTCCCCTCACTCTTTCTCTCTTCGTCTCCTTCCCTTCCTCTTCCCTCAGTCTTTCTCCTCGTTTCTTTTCCTTCTCCCTTCCTCTCCTCGTTTCGTTCCCTTCCTCTTCCCTCACTCTTTCTCTCCACATCTTTTCCCCCCCTCCCCTCACTCTTTCTCTCTCCGTCTCCTTTCCTCCCCCCCCTCAGTTTCTCTCCTCGTTTCTTTCCCTTCCTCTTCCCTTAGTCTTTCTATTTTCGTCTCTTTTCCTTCTCCTTTCCTCACTCTTTCTCTCTTCGTCTCCTTCCCTCTCCCTTCCCTCAGTCTTCCTCTCCTCATCTCTTTTCCTTCTCCTTTCGTCACTCTTTCTCTCCTCGTTTTCTTCCCTCCCCCTTCCCTCAGTCTTTCTCTCCTCATCTCTTTTCCTTCTCCTTTCCTCACTCTTTCTCTCTTCGTCTTCTTCCCTCCCCCTCCCCTCTCCTCGTTTCGTTCCTTCCCCCTTTCCTTAGTCTTTCTCTCCTCCTCTCTTTTCCTTCTCCTTTCCTCACTCTTTCTCTCTTCGTCTTCTTCCCT